AAAAGCCAGGAAACAAAGTAATATCCCAGCTTTAGGAGGACCATGTGGTAGACATTTAACTTGCACCCTAATGAGTCATACTACAGACTGCAGTTAATCTGTTCTTTACCCATGATAAAGAACTGGCAGGATGCCACAGCTTCAGTCCTTCTAAATCAGACGTTTGCATCTGTTTCCCACAAAACATGACAGAATGCCAGAGTCATGAAATACACTGAATTTTCCTCTATTCCCAGACTCAAAGGAGCTTCTTCAAGTTGGTGTCAGTTTCTTAGCCAGGACAGGAAAGTATTTGTAAGTAAGTAAATATCACACTAGATTAGAACAAAAATGTTCCTCCCTCCCATTAGAAAAATGTTATATTCTAATTGTTATTCAAGATGATGCTTGTTGTGGTTTAACCTGGCATGCAGCTAAACACTACACAGCTGTTTGTCCACTACCCCTCAGTGGGATGGGTGAGAGAATCAGAAAAAAATGTAAAATTCGTGGGTCGAGAGAAAGACAATTTAATAGGACAGAAAAAGAAGGGAAAATAATGGTAATGATAAAAGAATATACAAAGCAAGTGATGCACAATGCAGTTGCTCACCACCCGCTGACCGATGCCCAGCCAGTTTCCCAGCAGCAGCTGCACCCCCCTGGCCAACTCTCCCCATTTTCTTTGTTCAGCATGACATCCTATGGTATAGAATACCCCTTCGGCCAGTTTGGGTAAGCTGTCCTGGATGTGTCCCCTTCTTGTGCACCTCCAGCCTCCTTGCTGGCAGGGCAGTATGAGAAGCTGGCCCTTGACTAGTGTAAGCACTGCTCAGCAACAACTAAAACATCAGTGTGTTACCAAGATTATTCTCATCCTAAATCCAAAACACAGCACTGTACCAGGTACTAGGAAGAAAATTAATTCTATCCCAGCCAAAACTAGGACAATGCTTTTATGTGGAAGCAGTCTTCTAGGAAAAATGCAATCTAATACTCAATTCCAGATCATTTCAGAGGAGAACTGAAGAAATTATTTCGAAAGGAAAACCAAAGACTAAGCTTTCCCCCGAGACAATTTGTTGCAAGTATTTCATAATCTATACACGTTAGTCTGTTGACTAGTATATTCTCATTGACTTACTGAATGGGTATTGATAATTTCTTCAATGGAGATATATATGACAGGTTTGCTAAGAGTCACCATGTCAGAGTATTCATCGATATTGAATTTCTCCTCTGGTTCAGGAACATCACATGCTGCTTGAAAAAAATTCCTGAAAGAAAATGAGAAATACTTCAATAATTGTCCCCTATAAACTCGCTTTAGTTGGCCTGTATAACAAAAACACAATCAAATCTTTGACATACATTATATTTCTCTTAGAATCTGCAATCTACACTTAGTGTTTAAAGGAACCTTTTGGAGGCAACATATTTACACATCAATACAAATGACAAAGCATTCCATCTTTCCACCAATGGATAGCTGGTGAAAGACTGTTTCAAAGGTAGATTTTTTTTTCTCTTTATTCAACAAGGAGCGATAACTTGGTAAATTTTAGACACTTAGAGAAGTCTGTATTTAATACTGTAGAAGTTACAGAAGGATTTCCACAGAAAGACCCTCCAATTTTATGAAGGCACTTTGCAATATGAAGAGTACTGAGAAGAAATTACTTGAAATAGCTGCACAAAATTACCACTTGGCCTACAAATATTTAGATTGCCTTTACTCAGAAATTGAGCTGCTTGAAACATCAGAAAAAGTGGTATTGTTTATAAATGCAAGAATCTTGAGAGGAAAAAATGCAAAGTATGGTTGAACTGTTACTTCAACATAATTAGCACGTACATGGAGAGCTGAGACCTGCTTCCCAAGACAACAACGGGTGTCTCTCCAAGCCACTCACAGCTTCAGGGTTGTGCACAGACAACCATGAAACAGCAAAGTCCTCCTGTCAGAGGACCACTTTGTTTTCCAAAGTGAGAGGACCTGAACTGGAGCAGATGGGAGAAACAGGGTTTTAGATGAGGCCTACAGGGATGCTGCAGGAGCCACCCTGCCTTCACTGTTCTAGTCCTGCGCTGTTGAGGAAGATGCATGTTTCAGGCTCCGAGGACCTTTGAAGTTGGGGGGGATGGGGGGAAGAAGAAAAGGGCTGGGACTCCTCAGTTTGAAGAGGAAAAGCTGAGGGATACAATCACAGTGTACAAAATCACAGTACTGTTGCATGAGCTGGATGCAGAATTCATTCATCAAATCACACAATAATGGGACAAGGGGGGTTGCAATTAAACTAGCATGAAAATATTAATTTCAAATCCATGGAAGAATGCACCATTTTAACTGTCAGGTAGCAAACTTCTGAATATTGCTACAGGAGGAGGTTGTGGAGGCAGATGATCTGAAAGGTTTAAGAAGGATTTGGACAAATTCCCGCACAAGTTCATAAATGCACAGTAAAAGATCTAGGCAGGGCTGGTAGCTTTTAACATAGCTAATATTGCAATTGCCGTTGCTGGGTGAGTACAAGGGGAACAGGCAGCTGAGAGCAGCCACTGTTGGTGTCTAAGGAGGGTTTAGTTAGAATACATTGCACAATCACCCAGAGACTCAGTTTTGTATAAAGTTAGCTTAATTAGGAAAGGGATTCTTCCTTTTGCAGTAATCAAAGGGCCACCTAGAGTAGGCTCTCTCTTTCATTAGCATTTGTTATTCTTGCTATAACACTTTCTAACTTATTGTTTTTTCATGTTTATGTCATGCCCTTAAATACTTCAATACACAGAATGACTAAGTTTAAGTATTTTGTGCTCACGGCTGATCTCTCAAGGAAACCTATTATATAAACAGTGCATTTGCTTTCATGAAGGGCAGATATTAACAATAGATTTTCTGAAAGTGAGTTTGTCACAAGGCTCAACAATGCTTCAAGCTAATAATAGCAATCACCCCAAAAGATGAGCAATAATCCCAAACAACTTGTGTCCCAGAGTGTAGCAAAACATGTAATTTCCTATGACCGTGCAAGATGAAAGAAAAGATGGAATCTCTTGGCAAAGATGAAAGTATAAAAAACAAAACCTGCAACTTTTTCCTGACCAATAAGCTTTTTTTGCCCTCAGACAAAACATTCAGCTGTCCTCCCAACCAAAGAACATGTTATTTCTGCTAGATAATGAATCACCCCACACTGCTCTCACAATCTGTGTTTGCAGTAAGGAAGACTTATAGCAACCAGCCCAGCAGGGATGATCAGTTCTCAAAGTAATGCTCAAGCAGAAATACAACTTGTTATTCCTGCTTCAACTTCCTCAGCAGTGAGAATTTCTCTATGGCAGATCACTCAACATTTTTAACTCTGAGCAGGGAATTCCTGTAAATGAGGAGTCCACCTGCCTTACCCAAGAGGAGGGCTCTTACTGTGTATTGTGAGGTATTTGTGAGAGCTTTGCATACCTGAACTTCTGGTATGTCTGTGAGAGGTAAGCATTCATAGATGATAGATGTTCAGTCTCTCCTTCAAAAAGTTTGTTAGAAGCAGCGTGCTGAAGGACTTTTGCCACACAGCCTAGGTTCCTCCTCTGGTCAGGGTGTATCTGGCCCCCAGCTGTCATATCAATTATATCAAAACCATCAGGAGCCACAATGGCAGGGTTCATGTAGCGATAGTACAGGAGGTTGCCAACAATCTAAAAGAAAAAATTAAGAGTTCTTCCCTTTGCATACAGTAATTACATTTTACAAAACATGATCCATCATTTCTACTTCTGAATTAGACCATAGGAACCTGTAGTAGAAACCCTAAGACATACATGTTACTGATGTGGCTAAATGAAAGAGCCTGTGGTCTTTTGTTAGATGTGCCTCTTACAACACCTCTATGAACCTCAGTTACAGACTTTTACAACTACATTTCAATTTGGTTCTGGCTTTAGGTCAGCTAAAGCAAGGCATTGAGTTGAACACAGAGACAAATACAACTCTTGTTTCTTCTAGGTTTTGCAAGGTTCAGCTCCAGAGACTCATTATCTGAAGTGCTACGGGTATCTGCCAGCATTTAATGCATTCATTGACAAGGGACCCATTGTTTCTCATGAAGACTGCATGCAGCCCTAAAAGACTGGAGAACAGATTGTCCAAACTGCAATTTCTATAGTGATGTTACAGTAATTTTTATTGTGCAGAAGGTGGCTTCAAATCATGCCTGATCTCAGAAACAGGAAGGACGTTTCTTCCTGCAGTTTGCCTCAGCTTATGTGTAGACACCTGCAGAACTTCCAACTTACACATTTAAAGGCTTTCAGTTGGGTGTCTTATGCTCCATTTGTTACTTTTTTTTTTTTCATAAGTTGAGCAGTGCCTTAATCTGTATTGCTGGAGTGATGGACAGAAGTACCCTAAAAATGCTGCTTGCAAAGATTTCCAATGCATTGTTAAAACACACAAAAGCAGAATTAATTTTTCAGCTGAGGAGTTTGAGGTCCTCTAGGCACCAGGATATATATAAATATATTTTAAAAAAAAAAAAACAAACCAAACACTGAACAGCATCTTTTTGAAGAATAATAGGGAAAGTCATATTGAAATTAATACCTTGTAATTTTAGAACCATTTCATTAAACCCTAATGAAAGTAGCTTTACTGAAGCGCAAATAGTTCTAATTTGAGAGAGTTGTCAGTCTCTCAGCTGGCTGGAAGGCTTATGGAGCAATTCCCCTAAGCCCTCTGAAGAGGCACCATGGCTATGATAGGTTAGTGATGGCCAGTGTGCCAGTGCCATGCTTATCACTCACACTGTACTTTTCAATCTGTACAAATGTCATTTCTACAACTTTTACAAGCATCTTAAATAATTGTAATGTAATGATCTACTTGCAAATAATTATTAGAGCTCTTCCCCATTGTATTTAAATTACAATAGTAATGATTTTTTAAAATATGTTAACAACTTCAGGTTGGGGGGGTAGGGGAATGAAGACCACAGTGTTCTCCATGAAAGGATTGCTGGTGGTAGGGACCGTAGTACAAAACCAAAACCCAAGATGATTCAGATAAACTCCCACCTTCTGAGAACAGCCACTATCCAAACCAGGTTGAGCACTGTCTTCCCTAAGAATTGCTGAGCACCCAAATTAAGATAGCTAGGTTGTGGCAACAGTTCCCTTCTCCTCCCCTTCCAAGACTCCTTTGCAACCCAAGAAGTGCCAAATTCCTCCAGTAAACGCTGATGTTCTCAGTTCCTTAGAATGCTTAGTGTCAATAAAAAAACCCTTTGGCATTAAAAGAATAGGCTGCTGGCAGTTTGCCCTGAGAACTCTACCTTTAATAGTTCATCTTCTGTTGCATCTGGGAATTTCTCATGGAGTGAGCTCTTCAGAACTTTGGCTATATATCTCATTCCATAACTACATGTAGAACAGATGAAAAGGAAAAAATATTTGAAGACTTAGATGAAACACAAAATCATTCTAGTCAGCCAAGTTATTGGCTTTTTCCCCAGCCACTTAAAACACAAAATGAGATAATGGAAAATACAAAAAGTTTCAAGTACAGGTAGATGTTCACGAGGCTAAAGCAGAGTAGGAGAAGTGGAGAAACCACTCCCTCTGCTGGGGAAGTCATTAGAGAGGCATGTATCACAAGCCATGTAATTTGAAAGGATCTCCATTGCCGAGTTTCAAGTGCAGCTTCACTGTGCACATGAACTGCAGCTTGGAGATTCCTAACTCAGCACTTACGGCATCATATTGAGAGAAGAGAATATGGATGTGAGAACTTTGTCAGTTACTGCTCGCAAACTCTGAATCGATGATTCCAGTTTATTGACCACTTCTGTGTGTGTTAGTGCTTGTTCTGTGGTTACATCGTATGGCAGTTTACTGCAAAGCAAACAGATATTAAACCAGGCTAAATGTATTCAAGAATAAAATACATTTTTTTTGCTTCATAAGTGCCATCAGTGAGCGGAAGAAAAGGTCTGACAAATACAGCTGAAGTTGGCTAAATAACAAAAGTCTCAGATGCATTAGCTTCCTTTTTTGGAGGAGGGCAGTTTGTTTAGGTGGGGGTGCACAAGCCATCATGTACCTTCCCTTAATTACAAAAGGGGAATCCTAATTTAAGGCACGCAACTCTACATCCCAGCATAGCTCCTCAAAAGCCTGGGACACTACTAACATGCTGTTATAAAACCTGGGGAAAAGGCTATGAATTCTTCCATGGCACAGTCCACTACACTTGTAAAGGTTAAGTAATTGACTTTTGAAGTTCATGACCAGGAAAGTGGTCCCTTTGTTGTTCAGAACAGGTTACAGTACCTGTTTTTCAAACACCTCCCCCCCAAAAGTCTTATTGCGCTGCAGGAAAATGGGGAAGGGATGCATGGGCACAAGGGCAATTTGTCAGAGAAGGAAAGGGAGAGAAGAACTGAGGGATCCCTCAAGTATTTAAATGGTACAATATGTCCAACTTCCTCACTCACCTGGCCTCGCCAGTCTGCATTTCTAGCTGGTTTACCCATGACTTGTACACATCCACAGGACTAGTGTTGATTATGAGGGACTTGTCATCCATGATCTCCTTTACCACTGGGGCCAGGAGCTGGCGCAGAGTGTTCTGTCCACGAGCACCTCGATTGAAGCTGACGACCATCTTAATGACAGTTGGGTTTCCAGTAACAATATCCTGTATTTGGTCTACTTTAGAGCTGTATCAAGAACAGAAGAGTTCTCAGATCTGACTTATGTATGCAGTTATTCATGTTTTCAAAACTCAGTCTTTTTAAATTATCCTATTTCTATGCTGAAACATGTTTATACAGTCAATTTCTTAGGCTTTCATATAAAACAAGATTATAGAAACTACTACCAGAGTTCTATATGTGTTATGATAATGTCCCTGGAACACAGCATAGTTAGTGGCAGCTAATATATACCTGATTAAGGCCCAAATACCTGTTCAACAAATACCTGTTAAGGGCATAAAATAAGATTTTATTGTTTCAGGATAAGCCACCACTGTCCACTTACAGAACATACATTTACATAGAGAAAGAAAATACTTTCTCCACCCTTAAATGCTCAGGCACAAAAGCAAGAAACCCTAGTGTCTGGATTTTTTGAAGCAATTTTTCCATATAAAAATACTGTTCACCATAGAAAGATTTTTATCTGAATTGGAAATAGGTTGAGTTAATGAATAAGTTACCCTGAAAACGAATTGCTTTAGTAACAAAAATATGTATAAAATTTTACAGCAGTTTAAAGATTAACCATCAAATTCTTTTAGGTATTAAGTATTCACTGAACTGTCTGCAACACAAATTAAAGTCTTGTGAGTGCACATACTTTATCTCCTCTTCTAGAGCAGTTTTGAAGAGTTTGAGAAGCAAATATTCTTCTCGCTGATTAGAGGCGTAGTTGTATAGAGTGAAGATGACCGTATCCATAAACTTGGTTGATTTGTTTTGTGGCATCTGGAAAATCAGCTTTGCCAGATACGTGGGATTAGTCTACAAAACAAACAAATGGCTTAAATGCTATTGTCCAGGACAAACTACCCCCGCTTGGGGGCCAGGTCTCTCTACTTTTGCATTAACACCAAAAGCATTTATGTTGATTCCCATATATATCAGTTTTCCACACTGGCTTTACTTTTTCCAAATCCTGATGCTTAAGAAACACTGAATACTGCACAATTAAATATCTGTGAGTAGCACCAGTAAGGATTTTATTTGTAGTCTCTCCAAACAGTACGTCTGTGCATCAGGTCGATGTATCTGATGGCAATGACAATTTATGAAATGACAGTAGCTATCCACTAAAAAGACATTGCATACTATATGTCCGCTTAAGTATTACAGGACATCTGCTCAGGGAAGATCTAAAATTCTTCTAGCAAAACTTCAGTGAGATGACATGAAAAGAACACAACAACAGATGCATTATACGCTGTCAGCTTCCTTTCCACCACATACAATGCACAGTAATAGTGACAGTATTTTACATCGATTAAAAGATGTATGGAGGAAAACATTTCTCTTTGCTGTCAGTATGGACTGAAGTTATTCCCAAGAAAAACAGCTATATTTCTTGCACGGTTTAAAGACAGCGAAGATTTTCTCAGTTACAGGAAATATCATAGCTGATAAAAGCTATAATGTATACATATCATATTATATTATGAGATAATGATCAAAGCTGATCATAGTATTTGCTGCAGTCTGCATACTACTCTGGAAATCTTTTCATAATCACTACTACAATCACTAAAACAAAGCAAGCAATATATTTCTAGTTTTTCTTTAGCAATTTGATATTGTGTTAATTTTTACATTAAGATTTACCTGTAAAAGGTAGAATAAATGTTGATAAGCCTCCAGTTTTTTTCTTCTCTCTTTACTCAAACCTTTGATACCCTGTTTGTCAACCATAACCATCTCTTCCAGCTGACTTTTGCTCTTTTTGTTAAGCTTCTTGCTGTGCAGTACCACATCCTGCAGACAGATGATCAAAGTCTAGATTTTATATTCACAAAAAAGGCAAACTGGGAAAATTAACATTTTCCCCACTATGTTAAATGCAATATTCCTCCAAGGGCCTTCATTAGCAACTTTGTATATTTTGCTGCTCTATTCACTAACCAGTCTTTTGAACATCTTTATGTTATCACCAATATGGCTTACCAACAATGACCATCTGGGAAACCTGATCTCGTGCAGACTTGCTTATCGTTTAGTTAACAATGAATAAGCTCTCAAATATGATCAGAAGTCTACTCCATTCTAGCACAGAAAAGATGCCAAAAATCTGCCAAGCAATTACTGTTGTTCACAAGTAGCAAAACAGTGACATTCAGAAGCAAACTGACATACCACTCAGGACAACTGAGTAACCTCTACCACAAGGTATTTTGACAAGATTACTTAAGACACGCAAAGAAAGTGCTTAATTTATCAGGAGTTATTTTAACTAATTGAGGGTGACCAAGCACTGACACAGGTTGCCCAGAGAAGGTGTGGATTCTCCACTGTTGGAGATATTCAAAAGCTCTCTGGACATGGTCCTGGGCAACCGGCTCTGGGTGTCCCTGCTTGAGCAGGGGGATTGGACCAGACCAGACGTCCCTTCCAGCCTCAACCATGCTGTGATTGTGTAATCCTGAGCTCCTTCAACACACAGAAATGCTCAGTGCATGCTATCAAGAGACCCTGAACAGAGCATGCTGACCTGAAGAGTGATTCTGTTTTTCACCAGCAGTCCAATCTTTATATCCATTAAGTTCAAGTCCTTCTCCAGCTGTTGATTGGATCGAATTTTTGTAACCACTTCTTCCCTTAACCTTGTTACTTCTAGTTCTTCTTGAAAGTCCAAATCACTTTGGTCCAAGAGGTAGGCAAATTTGCGCAGGACAGTCAAGGGTGGATTTTCAGCACCAACTATAGTTGAAGTAAATAGGCATTTTAGTTGACATAATACTGAACACTCCTAAAACCCTCAGGAAATTGACCACTGTGCAGAAAATTTTGGAACTGCAGAGAGAAGTTTATGCCAGTTAGAGCAATATTTTTGTCATACTGTGTAAGTACAGCTATCCAAAATAGTTTCAGATGTAAAACAATTGGTTTACAAACACTTGCACCTGCTTTTGAAGGGGAATAGGAGACTGAGAAATCCTGGGTGAAAGTTTAAAAAAAAAATGACTGAACACAGTAACATACTTCTCCCCAAATACACAACATTCAACTATTACCACTTACTTAGTGTTCTGTAGTCCTCCCTGGCTTTGTTTGCTCTGAGAAATGCTTGTATCTTCACAATTTCATCATTCTGGAAGGGACCAAGATTAGGCAAAAGAATCTAGTTATGACACATTTCTTGCTCAGAAACACACTGCAGAACTTGTGCCCTCTTTCCTGAGATTCCCAAAACTGCACGTGCAGTCGTATTACCCTATTTTAATGCTTCATGTTCAAAATGGAGAAAAAGGACTTACGTGATCCTTGAAGTATTGCAGGCGTTTCCTGTAAGCTCTCTTTGCTAGCCACATTTTGACCAATGACTGAATCTGAAAATTAAACAAAATTAAACAAAAACTTAACGGACACTGCACAAACTGGTTTTTTTGTGTGTGTGTTTTAAACTTGCTTCTGACAGTCCTTTTCTGCAGGCATGCTGTTCTCACATGTTTGGGGCCGTAGATGACTGTACCACTGGGCTCCTACATTCCAGTAACCAGATTAATGGGCTTCGACTGACATATCAAGTTGAGCTCAAGGCTCTACAACCCCTGTGTAGCATTATCTTTGGGAGTCTTTTCTACTTTCAAGTCTCAGCTCTCAGTTGTAAACCAGTCTGCTTCAGAGACAGGAGATCAATATCCCATCTAGATGGGATCTATGATCTACTCATGACATAGTATCCCATTAGCATCTCAGAAAAGTGAACACATTTCAGACAGATAGATTTGACAGCTTTTAATGGAATACCACACTCAGCTCAAATATTTTCTAATTTAGTATTATGGAAAGGAAATCGTAAGGAAGTCTCTATTACGAGCCACTTAAGTTCAGCAAAGCCTGATAGAAGTCAAACACAGAACTTTCAAGAAGCAATTTATTTAAGCTGTCAATTAAACAACTTTCAACAGCAAGCAAATTTCTGGAGGACAAGTCCCTCCAGTTTGTGTTCCTAGTCTCTCATTCCCAGGTGGTGGAGGACGAAGCCAAGGCGTAAAGCATACCCAGGCCCCAAAACACAATGGGATCTTACCTTAACAACAGCAGCAATATTGCCTTGAAGCACCTTTAATCTGTCAATATAGCTTCTCCTTTGTTTGAATCCTTTCCAGAAAGCCTATTTTATAAAAGGCAGGAGACCATTATTACTAATAAGAAACTAGTATTTATTAAAATCTACACATATACACTGAAATCATTAACAGTGTTTATCTTGTAGAGAAAAACTGCCATTGTGGTAAAAAGAACTAAAGTGTAAGTAATCTTGCCTCTATATTTTTAAGGTGCCCCGATACATTTCATGCTAATTTTGGCCAATCTCAGCACAAACACTTTGCTGTCCAATGCCATTTCCTTCCCTACCCTGAAGCCTTCCTTACTCTTATCACCAATACACCCACATCCTTTAGCATCCCAGTCACTGGCTTCACCCCACACAGGGAAGACTCAGCCAGCTCTTGCTCATTACAACCAACAGCTGTCCCCTACCTAGCTGGACCCCCATTGTTCTTGGTCTGGCCTCCTTCCCAAGTCTCTGGTCTTCCAGTCACTGAGGATTATCTTGTACCACAGATAACAACCTCCCAATTCCCTCACTTGTCTCTTCATTTACTAGCTTGGGAGCAAACTCTTGGCAAGGAACCGAACTACAGGGATAGCAGATACTCTTACCACCTTTACCATATTTTGCCTTTCATCTCTATCCAGCCAGTGACACCAGCCTTGTCTTCTACTTATTGTCTTTTCACAAGTAATTGCTATTTTAATGCCCACAGAAAACAATCAGAGAACAACTTTATTTGCCTACATTTCTCCATATTTTTGAACCTGTTCACATATGCTAATTCCTTAAAGAACAGCACAGTCCTAAAGAACGGCTCAGACACCATGCCAGGAAATGAAAAACCAATCCCAATGACAGCTGCTAGTGGTAAAGGTGTTTATCATCATGAATTGTTAAATTAAGTTACTGTAGATTAAAAAAAAATCAGTTGTACATTTTTCTATAATTTTGGTGTGTGCGTGTGATTGATTGTTTTTCAAGACTGGAATAAATGGCTTCTAACAGGAAGGGGCTATTTCACCATTTAAAACCAGTGTGCATGCATTTGTTAGTGTTCACACCCTCAGCAGAAAGTTTCCTTGCACAATTTAAAGACAGCTGAAGACGTCCAAGAAATACTGCCACTCCCTGCCCAGTTATGACTTCATGGAGCAGAGGCAAGCCACTTCCAGGTGGGGATAGTCTAGAGAGGAATGTATTTCTTAAGTCATGCTTTGCCAAGGAATTTTTGCTTCAGTACTCAACAAATACCTTCTGACCTTGTCCTGTGCATAGTTAGGTGTCCCACACAAAACCTGAGCACCTCAGAATAAAGCCAGAGCTATGTATTTCTGAGCTTCCCCCACTGAAGTAACTTAGACTGCAGGTGGATATGATCCATTCTTTTAAAACTGGATATTTGCTATGTAAAAGCACAGTTACTCCAATGAGGACAAAAACACATTTGCAGATGTAGAAGTTTGAACTGCTGCAAAGGAAAACAGGGAGACAGACCTATTTGAGAATTTTATCAGTGGTAGTAATCAGCCACATCACCTGTCACATGCAGAAAGTTGCCCAAGCCATGTTACTGTCTTGTTCTAGAACAATACCTGTATTTTGATGGCAGATGGTTCCTGGTTTTGAAGGTATGCTTTCCTCTCCTGATAATTTTTTCTGACTAAGAATCCCCTTGCCTGGGCTTGCAGCTGAACAATCAGATTTTCATTAGCAAGCCACAGCTGCTCTCGATTGTAATCTGCTGTAACTTGCCCAACAATGCTCTGTTAAGAGATCATGGAAAAAGGTCATTCAAAAGCAAAAAAACTCAAGCCCAAAACATCCTGGAATTTGGTTTGTATTCTTCTCCATCATCTGTATAACTTATGTTTATCCTATCCAAGCTCCTCTGATTTACCCCTAGATGTTAATCAGTATGAAGGCAGAGCTGCTTTGCTACCATGGAATTTTATATGAAGGGTAACTGAATTCCTTTCAAGCCTCAGTTATTCAGCTGGATATGCTATTCTGAGAGAGGGGGTTCTTTTATACTTTAGGAGAGTTCTGCTTTCCTAATACTTACAATTTTTTTGTAGAAGTCGGACATCTAGAAATACTAACTGAATCAGGGAGCTCTTGATAGAGAAGCACACTCAAGAATTTCTGCAGTCAGAATTTCAGAAGGACCTGTGCTGACTTGAGCTGTTTCTGCAGCAGAGTGAACCTGTAACCTAGATGGGCTGCATCACAATAAAAAAACCCAAATTGTGCAGAAGCTTGTGTGATCTACTTTGTTCTAAGTTATAGCTCATGCTAACGCAAAACCTCTGCAGTGAGGGAGTTCAAGTATCACGCTCATCCTATTGAACTTGGAGATACAAGAATACTGTCAGATGATTAGATTTAATCATAAAATGGTGCTTCCACCTGCCCCCAAATACATCATGAAATTCCTTTTCATAGGCCAATACGAAGTCCAAAAAAAATAAAAGGATATTACAGCAGACTTTCCTCCATCGGTGTCTGCTGGTGACTGTTAAAAGGAATGCTGTAACTTCCAGTTAGGAAGTCCCTGAATCATTGTCAGACATCAGACAGGATGCAGTGCTGTCACTGTCTGCTTAGACTTAAGTTGCTGCTATTGTCAGAAGCAGATACTGAACTAAAGTGATCTTCAGTCTCACCAAGCACAGCCTTTTCCCTTGATATTGCCACGTCTTGCTATCTCTCTCTCTCTCTCTCAAATGTTTATGCTGCATTTGCAATAAAAGCAAACATTTCAGCCACCTACCTGGATTTCTTCACCAGTTAACCATGAAGTTTTTGGTACAACTCCTTCAGGGGCAACACAGGTACCTTTCTCAGTTTCCACATTGTAATAGTAATCATACATGTTTTTCATTACAAGTTTAATCCATGGACTTTCATTAGAATCTAAAAGCAATACATACCATTAGTACACATTTGTGCCCTGTTACACTGATAAATTACAGCCCTCCCTACCCATTTCCCATCTCCACATTTGCTACAAAGCTATTTTACATGCAAAGTCACTATATATCTTGAGCCAGTTTGTAGTAAGGATATTTTCAGAACAGTTAGGTGGATCAGGTTCATTCTTCTACAATGAAATGGCTATGAGGTTAGTACAGCTCCACTGCCAGCTTCTCCAAACCCCAACGTGCCAAGTTAGTGCTTGCTCCTGAAACAATGTGTGCTACGTCTTCCATCATCACTCACATAAGTGGAACTGAGACCAGGTTTATAAAAAAATGTTCATGTCTTCTGGCCAAATGCTGGCCTTATTGACACAGCTCACATGGGACATTTCCTATATCCACATCATTGTTTTGTTTAGTGCTTTGGTAAACAAGGCTGTACCCTGACAGGCAGGAAAAGCCTCATTTCCTCATGGACAAAAGGCCCCAAAGTAAAGCTTGTAAGGTCAGTTGTGCAAAATGTCCTCTCAAAATTCATGCTGCAGGATGAAACGTGCCCATGCACAGTAAGAAATTGTACTACATTGACAATAACCTTTTCTTTTTTTTTTTTTTTAAATTGTCGGCTGAACTTGGCTGCATTAGCTATGACCAGCTTGCAGCTCTAACATGACAAAACATCCCATCGTCTTGCTATGGACAGATTCTAGCCCCAGGTTTTGCTGATACCTGCTACTCTGGCAATGCACAGGGACCATAAATCGGGCATGGACACTGGCAGAGCCTGGCTTGATCTTTTACAGTAACCTGTAAGGCTGAAGCGTGCAGCCTGACCTGTCTCTGCATCTGCTATCAGGGAAAAAAAAAAAAAAAAAAAAAAAAATCAGAGACTAGTATGGTTTTCTGAGTGGATGGACTAGTCTATTGACAGTCACAGAGAAGCTGCCCTAGATTCACTCAGAGGCTAGCTTGAGACCCTAGAAAGTCTTAGCTAGACTCTGGAAATAGCTAGACTCATTTCTCAGCATGTACTGTGGTCTGGATGATGTGTGCAACAGTTCAGCTTCACGTAAAAATCACATTTCTCAAAAGATTTAAAAGCAGCAACTGTCTTCCTCAGTTTACAGTGATTTTAGGTAAGCTTTCTGTGCTAGGTTTCTAGTTGCCTCAGTCATATAGACACATGGAACTGTCCTATTCAGGAAGGTTTTTACCTTCTCTGGTTTTCAGGTTCTTGGCTTCAGAGAGGGTCCTGAAGTAGGTTTCAGCACACTCAGGAATGACTCGTAATCCAAACTTGGACTGCAGTATCATCGGGATTGACTGTGAATCACCCTTCTCCAAGCTCTTGTTAATCATTGATGTTCCAACAGCCACTAGGGTAAAATAATGACATAGAAAATTAAGTGGTTTATACTCTACCTACCCACAACTCTAGCCTCCAGCAGCTTTGATAATGGACTTCTAAGGCTGGCACACACAGACAGCATGACATACACAGCAATTCAGTGCTTCACCCATTTGCAGCCTCCTTCATGCTTGTGAGAACAAGTATTTCAGAGAACAGCAAGGCTGTTAGATAGAAAGTGTGTACTCCACCCAGGCTGGGATGCAGCCACAGCACAACTGAGAGCGGTCTGAGGGCATAGTTACTCTCTCATCAAGTGACACACCAGGTGACACCAGGGCAGGGGTTGAGGATGGCAGGTACTCAGCCTGCCCTAACAGACAGGCCATCATCTGCTGATCTCTTGGGAGCCTTCTAGAGATGCATGAAGTCAATTAGGTTACAAGCTGTAAAACCTTCACCTTCACTTTTACCATACAAAATGAGAATAAAAACTGTTTGCTTTGAGTAAATACTTGCAACACTAGCAGCATCTTAGTTGGGATCCTGAAGTGACCCTTCTTGTCCTCACCCCCTGGGAGCTTGTTTAAAGCTGATACAGCAAATTCATGCTCTTGAGTTTGCCAGGCGTGGAGTTTTTGCTTCCAAGGCATGTAAAAGTGCCCTGAGAGGTGAAGCATATTCAAATTTTGAGGTTATACGATGTTACCCATACTCTGATTCAGGACTTCCTAAGTGTCCTTTGCTTTGTGCAGGTCCCATCATTGCTGAAGGAGCTGATACCACCACACCTGGCAGCATGTAGCAGCACATGCCACTTCAAAGTGCCTTACACACTAGAGGTATATGCTGCTTTAGAAACTGCTCCTCTGGTCTTTAATGGTGTTCCTTCACATATAAATTCAAGATCCACACAGAGAGGAACAAGTGAATAGACATATGGCTAGAACATACACATTATTTATTAGCTTAAGTGAACCTGTCTACCTTTGCGTCCCACAGCTGTGCTTCACACTGCAACGCCAAACACTTTTCCTTATATTGTGTATATTCAGATCAATACAAAAAAAGGTCTCCCCCCATCCCCAGTGCTCTGCCTACACAGAGCTGACCCAAAAGGTGCTCAGTATCAGAAGCCTACATACAGGAGGCACTGCATGAGACTGAGCTAGCAGGAGAGCATTTCAGCAAGAGAAACAGTTTTTCTTCATGGTTAGTTTGACTAAAGTGGAATGCGTAGCTTTGGCTAGACAGCAACAGATCAATCTCCAAATCCATTGGAAGCCAGCTGAGAAACAAAGTGAATGCATGACACGACACCACCACCATCTGGATTTTTACCAGATCACATCCTGCTATTTTTCTGTGTTTTGAAACAGACCCCTGCCAAGCACGCATGTGCTCACCACGAGACTGGAGATGGCTTTGTACCATAGCTGTGGTATCGTGATGCCCAGGCATCCGGCCTCAGCAGCAAGGAAGCAGGAAAAACTGGGAAGCCACACATTACCAGCTTGCTGCTGCTGGCCCAGGTGGCTCTGGGAGCTCAGCCCTACTCGTACACAGTCCCATGTGCCTTGTCAACTGTGATCACCCATATTTGAATGCTTTTCTTCCTCCTTTTCAACCTTTTCAACAGGTACTGGAAGCTGTTCTTATAAAGACAAAAGAGCACAAAACCTAGCTAAGACTTGTTTCTGTAGGTCCCATACCGCCTGGCTTTTTCTCATCTTCTAATTGATTATGCCTTTATTTTTGAAGGAAAACATAAGAAAAGTCTTTAGTAGGGAAAAAAACTACAATTCAACAGAAATTATTCTTTTCCATTGAAGTGCTAGCAATTAATACTGCGGCTGTTGCTCTAAAGAAGGGCCATGTGAACAATGTAAAACTATAAGCTAAATGGAGCTTAGCCATCCCCAGCTGCAGCAGAACTGTAGGCTCCAGTCTGCTCCTGCAGCACTTAGGATGCCAGTACCAGATCTACACTGTGAAGGGCTCTTTTCCACACCCATCCTCCCTTCAAACAGCTATGATTTACAAAGATGCAGCTGTCTGGTGTGATAAGCCTGAACTCTCAACAGGGCCAAAGATCAGCTTTTTCCTATAACATGGACTCTCTCATGACAGATCCTGCTTTGACAGACAGGCTCTTCCTGTGCAAGACTAAGGTCGCTATTGCTGTCTATTCCTGAAGGCTATACAGCCAATGTTTGGCCGATGTCATTTTGTCCTCCACTTAGATAAGGAGTACAAAGGTTGAACTGATTCAAGAAGTGAAACAAGGTGGTGCAAACTGCACAGCAAACATCACAAAGAATTAAGAAGTGCACCAGCATTTACTGAACATGTCTTCCTAAATGAAGATACAAGGTAGAGTCCTTTACTGACAAGAAAGACAGTTTGTAAAAGCCTTTTAAAATTTTAATATTGTAGTATTTAATATTTATATAAGGCATAAAAATTAGTTTGGAAGGGATCAAGACTGTTTCAGTACAGCTGTTGGTACCTACTCTTATTTTACTGCTTATTTTATTGCCATTACTACAGCAGTCTCAAAAAACCACTTTGTTATGACTGAAAAATAAATCTTTGACTGCCTTGCAAAAGTTTTGGAGTGGGAAATGGGGAGCTGTTTGCCTTTCAAAAATAGCATCTTTGAGATAGATCAAAATAAAAGTTCATTTACAAGTTGTGATTGAGCTGAACTTAAAGTTTAGCCTACGTGAACACAACATGCTAACTTCCTGAGACAGGATGTGTTTGTTATAGGAAGTGTCAGGTTCTATGCCGTGGGGAAATTTTAAATCTCAGTTTTTAGCTGCAGAACCTTAGAGCTCTTCTCAAGAATGTGCTGTGCTGACACTGCTTCCTTTCAACCAAGAGGGCAGAGTACAGGAGATTAGTAGTTATTTCCAAGTGACTTGTTAAAACAGTTCTACTGATCATACTTGATTGTGAAAAGTGGTGCATTTACTACAAACAGATTATATGAAAATATTCTACTACAACAGTTAGCTAGTGCATGGAGCAGTGGCCTATCATTAGCAACATTGTATGGTATTGGTATATGGATAATGTTGTGCTAATTTCTGCAGGCCGTTTATGAGATATATTCTTAATACTTTTACACCAGTGCACACAAACGAGGATGTTTTCAAGTCACTCTTTAGCTTTAACTTACACCTATTTCCTTCCCTTCTCTGTGCTCACGTTTCCTCATGCCTCCGGGTGGCATTGATGGGAAGCTGGTTTTGTCCACAGAAGAAGGTATCAGCACTCCTGAGTACAAGAGCTCATTTGGGACAATGTGTGTGCGTCTGACCCCATCTCAGAAAACACAAGCCAGGTGCTTTTCACTACAAATGCGTGACCTACAAAAATACTTCAAGAGTCTTCAGTGTATCTGACTGGTTACATTAAGACTGTCTTAATTAATAAAATCAGTTCAAACTTAACAGTAACACTAAATGCAGTGTTTCTGTAGAAGGGATAGAAAATTTTGTAATAGCTAGCTGTGTGTGTTTTCTTACACCCACAACTTCCCTAGCACTAACTACTGACATAGCCTGCCTGTAAGTACACCGGCTGCCGCACTGCACTAATGAAGGCTGAATGCAGTGCTACAGGAATGCACTGACTTCAGCAGTTGTATTCACAAGCTCTTAGGGTGCAAAAGAAGGCAACAGTGACTCACCCGACACAAAGTCAAGCAGAAGGTGAACCAATATCCAATGCCAAGCTAACAACCTTGTTTGGTCTGTGCTGGCGCCAGGCAGGAACAGGTAGGGACGCCACCGTGCTCTCCAGCGTGCCCCATACACCCAGCTACACTTGCTTCTACATTACTTGCCAAAGTTTATTACCTATTATGAATATTTTTCTAAAATTATTATATTCAATCCAAACTTTGACAGAAGGTGTTGGGTGCATCCAGTACACAATGCTCTGACATGATAAGCCTCAGCATTTTTCCTACAGATTTCCCCCTCTGTACAGATTGGAAGAGCATGCACTTCTCCAAAAAGCCTGAGTGCTCTTTTTATGCTATTTTTAAAGTTAATATGTTCCTAATTTTGGTTGTTAGCACTTAATAAAAGCCATTATAATGAAACAGGAATAAACAAAGTTGTAAACATATGAGAATTTGCTCTTAAACCATGCATCAAGATTTTAGTCTTATATAAGCAAAATAAGCTGAACAGTATATCCATTCTCATTCACATATCCTTCTGTTTCACCAGCTATGTGAAGATACCCTGACACTAGAAATCTTGGTCGTGATGTTAACCTATATAACGAAATCCACTAAATTATTAGCCAAGCCTTAAGGATTACCACTTTAGATAAAACCAACAGCAGCCCTGGAGATTTAAGTCACCCTAATTTCAGTATGACAAAGAACATGCATTCATTTCTTTTGATGTATTTAAAGGGCTGCCACAATTCCCTGAATTGGAAAAAATAAATTACAAATTTCAGTTTTTCAAGACTAAGAAAAACAAGAGCAATGCAGAAGCAGTTTAATGCTTACAGATTGCAGCTTCTTTTATATTGTTATTGGCATCACTGATTCCTTTTTGTATTTCATCTAGCCACAGAAGCGCCGATTCATCTTGGGATTCCTGGAAAAAAGATAGAGAAAAGCCTTGAAAAAACTGAATTATAACAAAAGTTGTCTGAACATACTGATAGAGCTCTGATATACGATCTCTTGTGAGGCCCTTGGACACTAAAAAGAATTGGACTGCTTAAAATCAGCAATAAAACACGTTCATATTCTATTTACTGACTTGAGTAAACTCCTGTTCAAATACAAATCTCTGAAAGTTTTCATGTGTAGAAGA